GCTGTATAGGACATTGGTTAGGCCACTTTTGGATAACTGCGTGCAATTCTGGTCTCCCTGCTAATGGGAAGAATGTTGTGAAACTTGAAAGAGTTCAGAAAAGATTTACAAGAATATTGCCAGGGTTGTAGGGTTTGAGCTTTAGGGAGAGGCTGAATAGGCTCGGGCTATTTTCCCTGCAGCATCAGAGGCTAAGGGGTGACCCTATAAAAGTTTATAAAATTATGAGGAGCATTGATAGGTTGAGTAACCAAGGGTGGGGGAGTTCAAAACTAGAGGGCATAGGTTTAAGGCGAGAGGGGAAAGATTTAAAATGGACCCAAGGGGCAACATTTTCTACACAGAGGGTGGTGCATTTCTGAAACAAACTGCCAGAGGAAGTACCAGCCTCCACCATAATAACATTTAAAAGGCATCTGGATGGGTATTAAGTAGACAGTGTTTAAAGGGATATAGGCCAAATGCAGGCAAATGGGACTAGATTAATTTAGGATAGCTGGTCAGCATGGACGAGTTGGACCAAAAGGTCCGTTTCCGTGCTATAAAATTCTATGACTTCAAAACTCTAAATGTGAGAGATTATTGAGATTATGCACTCTAGTCCTAGAATTGCCCACAGTGGAAACAATCTTTTTGTACCTACTTCGTTATGTCCTTTAAGAATCTTGTATGTTTCAATAAAATGTTGCCTCTCATTCTTCTGCATTACAATGAGTGCAGGCCTAATCTACTCAAACTCTCTTCAAAAGACAGCCCCTCCAGGACTTCAGTGGCACAGTGGTAATGTCCCTATCACCGAGTCAGGAGGCCTGGGTTCAAAAGTCATCTGCTCCACAGCTGTGCAATAACATCTCTGAAGAGTTTGATTATGAAATATCCAAAGGACAGCCCCTTCATACCTGATATCAACTAAACGAACCTTCTTTGGATTGGCTCCGACACCAGCATGTATCTTTCCTTAGATAAGGGATCCAATTAAGTTTACAGTATTCCAGCTGTGGTCTGACTAGCACCTTGTACACTTTTAGCAAAACCTCATGCTTTTATATTCCATCCCTTTGAAATAAAGGCCAGCATTCAACTTATCCTCCATATTACTCACTGAACTCAGATGCTAGGTTTTTGTGATTCATATGCAAGGACTTGCAAGCGCTTCTGCTCTTTAGCTTTCTGCTCTCTATTTAAATAAATAATACCCAGCTCATTTATACTTCCTGTCAGTTACCCAACATCCCCCTCCCAACACCATATCCTCAGCCCAAAACCTTAAATCTGTGTCAAGTCCTTGTACCATCAGCTGATCGGAATAGCTTTTATTGGTCTAATTTATCTAAACCAATTCAGAATCTTGTAGAGCTCATTCAGATGTCATCAGAATATTCTTTGCTTGAAGGAGAATAATACCAACCTGTGTAGCTAAAATCCTTCATCCCTGTAACTATTCAGCTAAACCTCCAATATAACCCCTAAAGGACGCACAAATCCTTCTTAAAAATCACTACATTTTGCCATGTTTTAGTCATGTCCTAACCGCAGCATTAAAGGGGTTCAGAGTAGTTTCCCTGCTTTGTACTCAATTCTCCTATTTAAAAGATTTAAATACAGGTCCCTCTGTCCCTACTCCTTTGAACTATGCCATTAAGTCTATTGCCTTTTCCTATCTCTTCCACTGAAATGTGTTACTTTGAACTTTAAATTATTTACTCCCACTCGTCTGCAAATTCTTATGCTTCCTTATGGTGCTACTCTAACAGCTTTGTATCTCTGTTTTTGTGCAAATACCAACATTTTGATTTTTAAATTTTTATTTTATAATTTAGTGTTGATGGCTAGGCCAGCATTTATTGCCCATTCCTAATTGCCCATTCCTAACTGCCCTTGAGAAAGTGGTGATGAGCTTCTTCTTGAAGAAGAATGCAGCCCATGGAGTGTATTGTTTTTTGACAGGGTGATAGTGATAGGTACACCAAATGGTGTTGGGAAATCCCAGGATTCTGATTTAAACAATTAAGTTACATTGATGCACTTCCACGTCAGAACGGTGTATGGCATGGTTGGGAACATGGTCATTCACATCGTCTGCATTTGTCTTTCTAGGTGGAAACTGGCTCATGTTTAGAAGGCTTTGTTGAAAGAATCTTGGCAAGTTGCTGCTGTGCATCTTGTGGATGGTAAACACTGCTGTCACAATGCATCAGAAGTGGAGGATATTCCAATCAGGCAGGCCACTTGTCCTGGAAGTGTCAAGCTTCTTGAATGTCATTGGAAAGGCATTCTTCCAACCAAGCAAAAAACATTTCACTTCACTCCTGATTTCTGCCTAATAGTTGGTAGGTATGCACAGGGAGTCAGGAGAAGAGCCACAGAATTCCCAATTTAGTCATCATGGCTGGTCCAGTTCAGATTCTGATCAATGTCCACAGAATGTTAACAGTAGGAGACTCAGTAATGGCATTGTCATTAAATATCAAGAAGAGATGGGTAGATTCCTTTTTGTTGGAGATAACTATTGCAAAAGTTGGTCACCACTCATCAACCCAAACCTGCAGATTGTTAAGATCTTGTTGCCTGTGGACATGGTCTGCTTCAGTACGAGATGTGAATGGCACTGAATGATGCAAATAAATACTCTCCCCGTTTCATCCAAGCTAACACTGTTCCTCTTATTCTATCAGTCTCCATTTTGTTAACTAGCATTTTATGTAGGACTCCGTCAAAGCTTTCTTAAAATCTAATGAGTCAAACCCTTGTCATTCAAAAGTAGAAAATCAGGATTGAGTTTTCATCCTTGTCACATGATGCACTGTGCCCAGTTATACTAACTGGAGATAGCTGCTGGTTGGAAATTAGCTGTCTCATACACAAATTAAGTATTAAAAGCTTGGATTTCAGCAGTTCAGCCCACGTAAGAGGAGCCTTTACGAAGAAGCCTATCAATGTGCCTACATCTGGGACAGAAGATCAATGTTCAAGTCCCACTTGCTCCAGACACGTATCATGTCTGAACAGATCAATTAAAAATATCTTGGGGTTCTTGTAGCACAGTGATAGCATCCTTACTTTTGAACTAGGAGGGCTGGGTTAAAATCCTACCTGCTCCAGAGGTGCGTAATGACATCAGAATAGGTCGATTAGAAAACAAAAACAAACGAGTACCATAACATTTATAAAGATTCAGCCATTTAAAAATAATTAGACAGAAACAGAATTAACTCAAGTGACACATTTTCTTATTTTAAGAAGGGTAACATTTATTCAACTCCTTGTGGCTTAAGTTGTCAAATTGTTGCTTTTTCTCAAGTTGACTTCTATATGTTAATAAGACATAGTGGTGACAGCGAGACCATAAGACACAGGAGCAGAAGGGGGACAGTCAGTCTGCTCTTACCATTCAATTAAATCATGGCTGATCTGATAATCCTTACCTTCACTTTCCTGCCTCTGTCCCCAATAACCTTTCATTCCTTACCGAGTAAGAATCTCTCTGTCTCAGCCTTGAATATATTTAATGACCCAGAGGGCTGTAAAGAATTCCACATACTCACAACTAGGAGACAGATTTTTAAAGAGACATGAAGGGCAACTTTTTTTAAAAAAAAAAGGGTGGTTTGCTTGTGGAATGATCTTCCTGAAGAAGTGATGGATGTGGGCACAACTACGACGTTTAAAAGACATTTGAATAAGTACATGAATAGGAAAGGCTAAGAGGGATATATAGGCCAGGCGCAGGCGAGTGGGATTAGTTAAATTTGGGATTTTGTTCGGCATGAACTGATTGGACCGAAGAGTCTGTTTCCGCACTGTATGACTCTAAGAAATTCCTCCTCATGTCAATTTTAAATGTGCAACCTCTTATTCTGAGATTATAACCCCGATCCTAGACCCTCGCAAAATAGGGCAACAGCTTTTTTTGCATTACCCTGTCAAACTAAGAATCTTGTATGTTTCAAATGGTTGCCTCTCATTCTTCTATATTCCAATGAGTTCACAGAAATCTCAACACCACAATGCTGTTGATCACATTTAAAGCATAAAATCTAAAAAGGACTGACAGGTCAGGGAAGCACACAAATTCCATCCTTTGTAATATTTAAGATTTAAGAAAATTAAGCAGATGCAAGTTCCTACGAAGATGTTGCCATTTTTTTAAATTCAATATTTAAGTACTTCAATTTTCCCATACATTGTGGGAAAGAATCATGTTAAACTTTGAGCCTTTAGATATATCCTCAATAAAAACAAATTTATTGACTGCTTTGCTCAAGAATCATTTCGAATTCTTATTTAACTGTGTTTTAAAATCATGAACTACATACCAAGTATGCACTTTTCACGAATTCATAAAATTTTTCCCCTCACAGATTCCACCCAGCATTGTCAATTCTCACAATGATAGAATAGATAGAACAGGATAGAATATCCTTGAACACCAAGTTGGTACATTACTTCTCCAGTGCAGTAACTAAATGCTTAGGAAAAGGTAAAGAACCCGGAGAGAGAAAAGGGTGGCAGACAGCCAAGTAACAACCAGGAAGTGCCGGAGAGAGAGAGAGAGAGAGAGAAAATTTGGCGGATTTCAGGCTAGTTTAGGAACAAAACTCAAACTACAATACTCAAATTGCAGAAAGCAGCAAGACATTTTTTTGTTTTAAAAACTGTCAGCTTCATGTCAGTTCGAACGGATGAGTTTATCAATACATCGAGGAGGGTATTAAAGCTCGCACTAAAGACTTTCTGTTCATTTTAAAGAATATCGACTTGAAATCAACCTTGACGCTTACTCTTAAAGTGAGGTACTAAAGCCCCTCCAACAACCTCTCACATTATGTAAGAGTTGGAACAACATAACTGGCAACGATTCCGATTTTTTTTACAGCTGAAAACGACATAGACGGAAAAGAAAGTTACTTCGTGATACTGAGAGAGAGAGAAAGAGAAACAATATGACCGAGCTCAAAGCAGAAAGTAAACTTGGAAGATAAAAGCTACTTGCAGCTTACCTCAACATCCTTATACTTCTAATCGAGGATTTTCATATGAAGCAAAACGTTTCCAGCAAGTAACACAAAAACGAACCGTAGAAACTATGTTCACGCAGCAATAAATCTTCGACGCATGTCTTTACAGGTACGGGAACGGGAACAATATCTATGTCAGCAAACTGGAGCCTCTCGATTGTAGGGAAGGGGAGGTTCCTCACTCAACTCGAACACATACATATTCTCAACACTTTCAGGAGGAAACAAAACCCATGTGTATTCTAATCTCATTAAAGTCAGATACTTTTATTTATTACCAAATACCCAGCTGTACAATACTCTCACCCATATATCTTAATAAAGTCAAGACGAAGCCCCAAATCCTACTTCCGTCCAGGTACGAGAATTTCACGTGATAACAAATACAAATATTAGCATTGATCTTATGCAAACAGTTTTTTTTAAAAAAACAAACACAGAATTTGCTGTAGAAACTCAGCAGGTGTGGCAGTATCCATGGAGAGAAAGCCAAGTCGACATTTCGAGTGCTGTGATCCTTCTTCATTTTGATTTAAAATTTACTTTTAAACCCTGCTCATGGACACAAAATGTAATGCACCTCCCGTCACAGTGCTGCTGTTCAGGAGGACTTCAGTACTTACAAGCTTTAAAGAGACTATCGCGACCACTTTTTTTTACATTTATGTTTTGTTTTCTTTTTATTGAGTACTTTTTTTGTGATTTTGCTCTTTTTAAACGGCGTTTTGGGTAGCGTATTTTGAATGTGTGTATTTCTGAACGGTTTATCGACCTCCATAACAACTTTATTATGACCCACAGTTGTCCACTCAATTTCTCATCAGTTAGCCCCTATGTCAAAAATACTCATTCCACAGGATTTGGATCTATAACTGAAATTCTCTAGCTTCTCCTTTACGGACCTGATTTTTTTTTTAAACTAATCTCCCCTACCTACTTATTTAGACATCACCTCGTTTTAGTCATCTTTGGTGTTTCTTTTTATTGGATATATTGGTGCTGATCAAGCAACCATATCCTGCTCAGGCTTTCCTTCAATCCCTCTCAATATTTGGCCATAGGATAACTTAATTCAGCTGTATCATAAACTCATTAAGTCACAGTTCCCTCAGCTTTGGCACGCTTAACTGTCACTGCTCATTTTCAACTGTACCTTGTTAAACGATTCTCTTCCCCTTTCTCTTTGAAATCTTTGCTAATATTAAATCATATTGCCTTCCATTCCTGCAGCACCTCTATACAACCTTTAGTGTAATTAGACATTGCTAGGCTGCCCATACAGGGATTATAAAACAAAATGTGTACCAAGTCACATAAGGTGATATTAGGGTACATGTGCAAAATCCTGCTTAAAGAGGGATATTTTAATAAGTATGTATCTCCTGTCAACACACTTGGACACAAGGTCAATACAGCTGAAGTCATTGTTGTGAGCCCACACTGCACTCGAAGTTGGAGTTGAAAGTTGAGGAAACATAGAAATAGGTGGATCGACCATTGCTCCAGTTCTGAGGAAGGGTCACCGGACCCGAAACGTTAACTCTGATTTTTTTTCTTCACAGATGCTGCCAGACCTGCTGAGCTTTTCCTGCAACTTCTGTTTTTCCTTTAATTGACAGCATCTGCAGTTCTTTCGGTTTCTACATTGCTCCATATTGTCCAGGATTATGCAAGCTAGGTGGATTTACCGTGGAAAATGTTGGGTTACAGGAATAGAGTGGGGAGTTATGCTGATAGGGTGGGTGTCTGGGTCTTGGGTGTATGCTGTTTGGAGGGTTGGTTGGACTCGATGGGCCAAATGGCCTGTTACTGTATGGATTCTATGAAGTTCTACTTGACATGATTATGCCTGATCCTCGACCTAAAAGTGATATTCCCACTCTCTCCTTGGCTCAATGCCTCTAGAAATCTATTTCTTCCTTAAATATACTCAGTCACTTGGCTTCCACAACCTTCTGTGGTAGAGAATTCCACAAGTTCACCACCCTGAGTGAAATTTCTCCTGATCTCAATCCAAAATGGCTTGTGTATCCTGAGACTGCGCTCCCTTGTTCTGGACCCACCAGCCAGGGGAAATGATATTCCTGATGCAGTCTGTCCAGCCCTGTCAGGATTTTATATGTTTTAATAAGATCCCTTTTCATTCTTCTGATTTCTAGTGAATACAGTCAAACCATGACAAACCTGTCATCGCAGGAATCAATCTGATGAAGTACATCTTTTCTTAGGAAAGGAGACCAAAACTGCACAAAATATTGCAGATGCAGTCTCAGCACAGACCTGTACAGCTACAGTAAGATGTATTTACTCTTGTACTCAAAGCTTCTTGGAATGAGAACCAACATACCATTTGCCTAAACGTTCACCATGCTTACTTTGAGTGACCATGAACAAGGACACCTTGATCAATATTTCCCAATCTATCACCTTCTAAATAATAGCCTGTCATTCCGTTTCTCCTACTTGTGGACAATTACCTACATATTATTGCATCTGCAATTCATTTGTCTATATGACCTTGAAGCCTCTTTACATGCTCCTCACCATGCACAATTTTATGTAATCAGCAAACTTCAAAACTCGATATTTGATTCAATCATCCAAATGTATCGTGAATAGCTAGGGCCTAAGCGCTGATCTGCAGTCTGCTACTTGTCACTGCCTTCCACTGTAAAGATTGCCTGGTTATTCCTATTCTGTTTTCTATCTGTTAACCAATTCACAATCCATGCCAGTATATTTGCCCCCAATCCCACATGGTTTGATTTTGCACACTAATCTCTTATATGGGACTTTATCAAAAGATTACTGAAAATCCAAATATACCATATCCGCTAGTTCTCCTTTATCTATTCTACTCATTAGGCAGTCAAAAATTCCAGTTGGGTTGTCAAAAACTATTACCCTTTCATAAATCCACATCAGTATATTCTAAGACAAAGAAATTACTCAAAGTGTCCTGTTAATCATAATAGATTCCCTTCGTAATAGATTCCCACGTTTTCCCCAGTACTGATATTAAGCTAACTAATCTATAATTCCCAGTTCTCCATCTCCTTTTTTAAACGGTGGGATTTTTTTTCCACCCTCCAATTTGCTGGAACTGCTCTAGAAATGTACAGAACTTGAGAGGATAACAACAAATACATCTATTATTTCACCAACTCATCCCTCATACCTTTGTAGTTTCCTGTCTTAAAGGCAGAAAGGTTTGTAAAGGGTGTTCCAGAACTTCAGTCTCGGTACCTTCTTTGGTACCCTGGGATGTAGATCATCAGTTGGCACATTGGGTGGCACAGTGGCGAGCACTGTTACCTCACAGCATGTACGACCCAGGTTCGATTCCAGTCTTGGGTGTCTATCTGCGCGAGTTTCCTCCAGGTGCTCCAGTTTCCTCCCACAGTCCAAAAATATAAAGGCTAGGTGGTTTGGCCATGGTAAATTGCCCATAGTGTTCAGGGATGTGTGGGTATAGGGGGATGGGTCTGGGTGGGATGCTGTGAGGGTTGGTGTGGACTTGTTGGGCCGAAGGGCCTGTTTCCACACTGTAGAGATTCTATGCTGATGAAAGTGTTCAGTCACATTAATTTCTCCAGCATTTTTTAGTTTAAACTAATATTAATTCCTCTTTCCCAATGGATCCTTGCTTCTCTCGAAATCTGGTAAGTTATTTGTATCTTCTTGAAGAAAGGACTAATGTAGTTATTTAATTGCTTTGCCATTTCTTGTTCTCCATTATTAATCTGCCTGTTTCGGACTGGAAGGTGCCTGTATTAGTTTGCAGAAATCTTTTCCTTTTTACATACTTATGGAAGCTCTTGCAGTCTGTTGTTCTGTTCCTTGCAAGTTTTTTCTCATACTCTATTTTACCCCTCTTAATCAACTGCTTGGTCCTCCTTTGCTGAATTCTAAGCTGCTCCTTGTCCTCAGGCTACTACTTTTTTGAGCAAATATGTAAGTCTCCTCTATAGATCTAATTCAAAAACTCAAGTACAAAAGCTGAATTTCTTTTGTTAGCACAGTTGTACAGGATGTTGGTGAGGTCACTTTTGCAATAATGTATACAGTTCTGGGCGCACGTCTATAGGAAGGATATTACTAAATTCAGAAAAGACTTACAAGAATGTTGGCAGGACTGGAGAATTTGAGTCATAAAGGGAGGCTGGGATGTTTTTTCACTGGAGTGTAGGAGGTTGAGGGGTGACCTTATAAAGGGTTATAAAATCCTGAGGGAGATAGAAAAGGTGAATAACAAAGGTCTTTTCCTCGGATGGGGGAGTTTGAAACGAGAGGACATATTTTTAAGGTGACAGCAGGAAGATTTAAGAGAGACCTGAGACCTGAGGAAGTGGTAGATGCAGGTACAGTTACAAGATTCAAAAGGACAGATACATAAATAAGAAAGGCTTGGAGGGGTATGGGCCAAACGTAGGCAAATGGAACTAGTTTAGTTTGGGAAACTGGTACAGCTTGGATGAGTTGGACCAAAGGGTCTGTTTCTATGCTGTATGACTCTACCTGTTGTGTTCTTTCAACCAAAAGGATTATATTACTGTTACAATGTACGCATTCATCCCTTAAATATTAACCAGTGCCTATTTGCTGTCATACTTTTTAATGAAGTTACCTAATCTATCACAGCCAACTCATCCCTCATACTTTTGTAGTTTCCTGTCTGAAAGGCAGAAAGATTTGGAAAGTGTGTTCCAGAACTTCAGCTTTGGCACCTTTTATCTTTGATCCCTCAGTCAGATGATGCAAACTTCAGTACAATTGCTGCATAATGCTGCAGTGTAGGGATTAATGTCAAAGTTTGCAGATGCTATGAAACAGTGCAGTAGATGGTGATGAGGGTAGTTGTAGACTTCTGGTGACGAGCTGTATGGTGAAAATGGGCGCAATTAAAGTAAACGGAGTTCAATACAAAGAATTATGATGCATTTTGACAGGACTAATTTGGAACCAGAGTGCATTATCAACAGCATTATTTTGAAAAATGTGAATGTGCAGAAGAATTTGTTTTTTTTTCTCCTTTGCTGAGGAATGGACATTGCTGGCAATATCTTTGCCCATCCCTACCTGCCCTTGGATTGAGTGGATTGCTGAGCCATTCTATGATTGGTTAGTAGTCAAGCACAGTTCTGAGGTTTGGACCAACACGTAGGACAGACCAAGTAAGCACAGCACATTTCCTTCTCTTAAGGACATTACTGAACCAGATATTTTAAATAAAAACAAGCAATGATTAGTTTCATGGTCATCATTACTGAGATAAGTATTTACTTTCAGATTTATTAATTAAATCAATATTCCACCAGCTGCTGTGCCTCTGAAGCATTAGCCTTAGCCTCGCGATTATTAGTCTAGTAAATACACAAATGCTTAATGGGAGGCAAGTTGGCAAGATAGTTAAACAGCATGCAGTGTGGCAGGCAGTCCAAGCCCAGGCAGACGAGTTGCGGGCTGGAGCCTGGCGCGGGAGGCAGTCTGAGCCCAGGCCAGCCCAGGGAGACGAGTTGCAGGCCGGAGCCTGGCACAGGAGGCAGTCCGAGCCCAGGCTGGCCTGGGGAGACGAGTCCTGGTGGCAGGTCCCGGGCAGGAGGCCAGCGAGGAGGCGGCAGTGAAGTTTTGAGTTCTGAAGCCCAGCAGGCACAAACTTGGTGAAAAGGACTACAATTTGAGTACTTTTAAAAGATACTTTTATTCTTATTCTGGATTTTGAGTAATTTGAGCACTTTTTAAGACTTTGTATTCCAATGGTAGACTTTTTTTACACTTTCAATTCTGTAACAAACACAAGTATCTGTACCTAGGTATCCTGTACCTAAGATGGTACCAAAGTGGTCACATTTCAAACTTTTCACTGCAGTCATTTCAGCGTACATGACAATAAAGGCTATTGTATATAGCTTCAAAGATAGTAGGAACTGCAGATGCTGGATAATCTGAGATAACAAGGTGTAGAGCTGGAT